CCTGAACATTTTTTAATGAAACATTTCAACATACAGAGATGTTGAAACCATTGATCAGTGAACATTCAGATTCCACAACTAACATTTTGCAATAGTTCCTTTGTCAGAATATCTCTTCTCCCACCAATCCATCTTTATTTTTTGGATGCATTTCAGAGTAAGTTATAGATCACAGGATACTTTGATTGCTTTTTGATCCTTGCAGAAGGTCTGAGCATAGTAGCCCAAGGAGTCCACATTGATGCTGTTCAGAATCCTGCTGGCTAAGAGGAAGGATTTCAAAGAAGGTCCCAATCTGTGGCCTCCAGTGACTAGGATGACTTGAAATAGTTAATTTAGTGCCTTGAGCTCATTTTCCTTTTCTTTAAAATGAGCATAATACCATCTCCTTATGGTGTGTTGGAAGAATGTATTGCACCTAGCACTGTCCAGAGCATAGGAAGAATTTAGTAAAGGAGAGCAATTTATTATTTTTACTTAAGCAGTGTGATGTTGTGTGTTGAACTGTGGAAGGCACCATTTCTTATATACTCTTCGTGACAGTGGTGGATAAGTCCTAGTTTTTTTTTTTTTGTCTTTTTGGGGTACAAAGAGCTTAGTCATGTTTTATATTTTTTTTTCCTTTTTAAACTTGAAGGAAAAAATTCCATAAGGAACCCCCAAATTAGTGTGTCAGCTGATCAAGAGCACTGTGTACTGAGTATCTTAGTCAACTTTCCATTGCTATGACAAAACACCTGAGACAATCAACTTAAAAGGAAGAAAGGTTTATTTTGGCACATGGTGTCCAGAGGTTTCAGTCCAGTATCACTTGACCTTGTCACTTTGGGCCAGTGGCAAAACAGTACCTCATGGCAGGAGTGTGTAATAGAGCAAACAGTTCACATCATAGCAGCCAGGAAACAAAAAAAAGCAGGAAAGGGGCCGGGGTTCCCTTACTCCCCCACGGCATAACATTTTTCATGGGGCACCACCTCTTAAAGGTACCACCATGTTCCAGTACAGCAGGTGAGTGACCAAGTCTTTAACATGGGAAGATATTTTAAAATAGAAACCGTAACACTGACATTGAAACATTGACCTGAGTGGGTCTCTATAAAGAGTCTCTGTCCCACCATTTGATCAGAGTGTGTCCTGTGCAATTGCTTTCTCTTCTCTTTGAGCTAACTGTGTCACCCATGGTTGGAGAGGTGAGCAGTTGAGTGAATTAAGGAAGACCCCAGTGGGCAATGGTGGCATTGTAGGGAGGTGAGAAAGTTAAGCAGATTAAAGGCCTTTTTGCAGATGTGTTTTAGGGCTGAATGCCAGACCAGTCACAGCTTTGTACACACATAGACAAATTGGAACTTGAAAGCAGTTTTATCTGGGCTGAATTTGCGATCATTGCAAATTTACAGCAGAGGCTCTGAAACCAGTTCAGATTTCCCAGTGTAGGTAGCCACTTCCAGAACAGGCCCCCAGAATTGAGTAGGAAGAGGAGACTTTCTCTCGGGCTCTGGTTGTACCCAGCAATGCACTGTTGCTGCCATGATACCTCTCTTACCACCTTCTGCTTTCTCAGAAAGCAGCTGGGCACAATCTAGCAATGTAGAATGGCAGTGATTATTTGAGAAGGCACATACTTCATTCAGACCAAATTCCTATTATCAGCCTAGATTTCCTTTGACTCCTGAAATAGACTTGGGCCACCGGGCTGGGTGTCTGCTTATGATGTAGTAGTGGGGGACAGGAATGACTGATTCTGAACTTTGCATTTTAGATTGAGGGTGCAGTTTTGGAGAAGACCTTTATTATTTAGATGTCGGGAAGAACTCATTGGAGTGGTGCAAACCTCTTCTTCTTATTATTATTATCTTATTAGCACATGTTTGCAGTACATAATGATCCCATTCCTTGTGGGAGTTGGTACATGTACGTAGCACATTTTAATTCTGTCTTTCACACCCTCCTCTCCCCTCCCTCCTCCTCCCTCCAGCTCTTGGTCCCCTTCCCATTTGCAAAAGATCTATCTCCCTATTTCCTATGATCTGTCTTTTATTTTACCCCTTATTTATATTTTGAGTTTCTCACATGAGAGATACCATGTGATATTTAAGCTTATGTGTCTGATCTATTTCATTTAATATTATGGTCTCAAGGTGCATCCATTTTTCTAGAAATTATTCCAGTTCATCTTTCTTCATGGCAGAGTAGTCTTTCATTGTGTGTAAATACCACACTTTTCTTTATGTTGATGAGTATATTGGGCTAATTCTAAGATTAGCTACTATGAGTTCTGCTGTAAACATGTGTGTGCATATGTCACTGTGATATGATGTCTTTTACTCTTTTGGGAAGATATTAGAAGGGGAATAGGTAGATCAGATAGAATTTCTATTTTTAGTTTTTTGAGGATTCTCTCTGTGCTGATTTCCATAGTGGTTGTACTAGTTTACATTCCCATCAGCAATATAGAAGGGTTGCTTTTCCTTTGTACATAGGCTCACCAGCACTATGCTTGTTATTATTTGATTTTTTAATAATAGCCATTCTTTCTGGAGTCAGATGAAATCTCAGTGTTGTTTTACTTTGCATTTTTGTAATGGCTAGAGCTTTTTGTCTGTGTTCCACTTGGAAAGTTGGTTTAGTAGGCTATATGTTCAAGCCTCAGATTCCTCTGCTATTGAGTAGGAGCAATAGCACCAAGTCACAGAGGCGTGTGAAAGTGAGGTATTGTGGTACAAGAGTGAAGAGTAATTTCCCCCTGCTCTCTTCAGGGTCATGGGAGTAGACTGACAAAGACAGATTGAATAGGAGAAACGGCATGCAAATTTGTTAACCTGCAAAAGAGGAAAAGGAAAACCCACAGGAGTGTGATTAACTACTAACTCAGAATGACTGAGAAATGTGTACACCTCCTATCTATAGGGAAGGGAGCAGGGGAGGGTTGGGGAATGTAGACAATTTTGAGAACTTAAAAATGATGTTTATTAGAACCCAGTGGGTTTGGAGAACATACAGCAGCCTGGACAACATTTTTCTGGTCTGCAGAACAGACAGTGGTTTGTAAATGATTCTCTTTGGAATATTGACTGGAACCAAAACAGAAGACAGTGGTGTGTGAGAAAGGTTGGTGCAGGTGTGTTGACACACTTCAGTCTCTCTTCCTGCCCTATGAGTTTAGTTAATGAAAAGGGAAGGGACCAGAGGTCATTGTTTTCTTACTTCCAGAGTTTAAGCAGTCAAAGAGATTTCAGAGGGAAGCCTCTTCCAGAATCTACCACTCTCCACGGTCCTTTAATTTAAAGCAGTCAACACACCAGGGTGCCATCTTTTGGGGTGATAGTCCCTGGGCCCCTTCAGTGTCCCAGTTCCTCCTTTTTCCTGGTTGTGTCTGTCTCCATTTAGCTACTCTGAATTGTCATGGTGTTGTACCTCACATCACTGTAGCAACCTGTTTTCCAAATTCATTTTTTTTTGGTACCGGGAATCGAACTCGGGACCCTGCGCTTTCGAGGCAGGTGCTGGAAACACTGAGTTAAATCCCTGACCCTCAAATTCATTTCTTATAGCCAACTCCTATCTACAAAATGATGTCATACTCACTTATCAGAGAGGGAGCACTTAAAAAAAAACCACAATGATTTATTTATTCATTTAACAAATACTTTTTGAGTACCTCTTATATGCCTGGCACTATAGAGTCCTGAAGATACAAAGATGAGTAACTTACTGCCCCTGAGGAGGTCACATTCAGTTGTCAAAGACAGATGTGTACATCTGTGGCTTCTAGTGTAAATGAAACAGATGGCAGAGAAATTATGGGGGGGGCGGATAGAGAAAAGAAGTACCTCCTTCTGCTTGGGATGTTTATTGAGGGGGTAGAATTAGCGTGGAAGAGAAATTTAAGGCACACTTGAATAAAGACAAGGAATTGGGAACCATCGTGTCATGTTTGGAGATCTTTACTCAGGTCAAGTCGATGTTGCTAGAGTGGGGTGAGGGTGCAGCTAGAGGGCTGGGAAGGGGCTGGATACAAGGTCATATGTGCCACGTGAGAGGCTTTATTCCTTAGGCCTGCAGTTCTCCAGAGACAGAGATAAGAGGGATAGGCATTCACACTTGGACCCTCTGCACAATTGAGCACCCCTGGATAGGAAGACTTCCTTTGTATAGAAGGTGGTCTGCAGAGCTTGAGACCTGAAGCTCCCTTTAGGAAGATCTGTAACTGCCTGGGGAGAGGAAGGAAGTAGAGATAGAGAGAAATGGATGGATTTAGAATTTAAGGCTTGGTTCATTAGAGAAAAGGAGAGGGAAGAAGCAAGAGCCACCTATGAGCAGGGTTCTGCATTTTCTATTTGGGGCTCTGCTCGTGTCCTGCCTCTTGGGGAAGGATTTTTCTAACTTCTGGTTCAAACTTTGCTATAGAGCACTTGGCTCAATTCACGCCATCTTTCTTTGTATTGTTCTTAAGTTTATTCTGCTTTCCTTAATAAAGGGAAGCTCTTTTTTTTTTTTGGTACTGGGGATCGAGCCTGGGACCTTGCACTTGCGAGGCAGGTGGTGGAACCACTGAGCTAAATCTCCAGCCCAATAAAGAGAAGCTCTTAAAAGCCAGGGACTGGATTATATACTTTTTTTATTCAGAGAATGTAATTATTCACATTCAGTTTTTATGCATAGTATTATTGGACCTTTAAGCAATTTCTTCCACTTTTCTTTGATTTTCTTTCAAGAGAGGAACAATTAAACACAAATGTCAAATGGGAAGTGTCCTCTATCCAGAGGAATATATTCATTACTAGTGAGTCTAAATGGGCATTTAGGAAATCAAGTATACATCAGAATCATCCCAAAGAAATGTATGAGCTTGGAATTTCAGAAGAATAGGCTAGATATTTTTGTCTTGGAAACAACTTACTTTAAGAGCTTCTCTGGTGGGTGGGCAGTGGCTTGATTATCTAAAATATCCCCTTTGAGGTAGAATTGCACTGACTGCTTTGTGTCTGTGATTCCATAAGCAGGTCCAGAGCCCAGTGCCCGGTGTGAACTGTCGCCTGTCAATGCCTCCCACCCTGTCCAGGCCTTGTTGGAGACCTTCAGTGTCCTGTCAGGCTGTGCCAGCAGAGGCACCACCAGGCTGCCGCAGGAGGTGCACGTCCTGAACCTTTGCACCGCTGAGAAGGGGCCTGGCCAGCCACAGAAAGAGGTAGGTGTGGGTGTGAGCCTTCAGTTCTTACCCTCTGAGTCTGTAAAGATGCTTTTCTGAAGAAAATGTTATATTTCTTCTCTTCTGGACTCAACAAGGATTCTCATGTATGAACACAAGACGGAGCAAGAATTAAAATAATGGATTGTTCTGTGACCTGGGCAACTGTAAGACCAGAGATCACGTAGCTCTCCCATGATTTTGAGAAAACAAGGGGCCATTTCTCTGTAATTGTAAGGTGTCTTCCCAGCCTTGCCTGTGACCTCTTTGTCTTCTTTCCTTGCTTTGTCTTATGAGCCTGTTACTCCTGCAGGGAGTCAGGGGGTAATGGGATCACTCTAAAAGAAGGATGGCAATATTTGTGCTTCCATGAAAATCCCCTATGGCAGCTCTCTGTTGCTGTCCAGGCAGATCCTTGAAGATGGTGGTGATCTTGGTAGTGATGGTGAGGATGATGGTGTAAGGTCATAGCTACTCAGTATTTACTCCGAGCTCAGCACTTTGTGAGTCACTTATACACTACTCCATGAGGTCCTGTCATTTTACAGGTGATAAAACGGGTGCACAGATAACTCAGTTGCTCCAGGTCATCACTATCAGAAAGAAATGAACTCCTTTTTTCTGTAACTCAAAAAATGGCCTAGATGATGGGCAAATGGTCATGATTCTTCTTTAAGAGGATAGATTTTCTGACAAAAGAACACACAGTTGTCATTCTTTCTGTTTTTTTTTTTTTTTTTTTGCTTCAGTGTGTCACAAATGTTAATCACTCAGACATTATTTTTCTAAGGAGAAAGAAAGCGCAGTAAATCCTGATCATGGTGAAGTATGGGAAAACTAATGCAGAATGAAATTTATCTTTTAGTTTTCTCCTGGTCAAGAAAATAAATTTCCACAACCATTTGTTTATGTGCCTCCACCACCCTGTCTTTTAGGCAGAGTAGGAAAAGGAGAGGCATGAGGCATCCAGAAGGGAAAGCAAATGGAGTTTAATCTCATGAAAGTGTGCAGAGTTGGCTCATTTCAAAGACAGATCATCTAACCTTTCTAGCTCCACTGGAAATTATTGTTAATACTCTTGGTTGCTTGCCATTGTTGCTGCAACACATATTTCAGGTCAGATTTCTTTATCCCCTTAATGCATCTTTAATTCTTAACTTATGGGGGAGAGTTTGTGGTGGGAGGGAAGGGAGGAGAGGAGGAAATGCAGTTCCTATGAGGCGTTGCTGACTCTAGCAATTCTTCAGCAGCAATAATTACTCATTTTATATATGCTTCTCTCAGAGGAACTAAGAAGAAACAGAAAGTCCAGGCCGTTACAGAAGCAGTATCAGCCCCAAATTCTTGATGTTAAATTGTGCGGCACTGTTGTTGGCTCTGAAAATAAATTTAATAAGACTCCTGGAGGAGAAGAGAAACACCTCAAGCAAGAATAGCAGAACTCTCCCACCCTGGAACTCAGTTTAAGACATGGCAGTACTATAGATGCATAAAATGAGCTGGCATCAAGGGATGTAATGTGTTCAGGGAGAAGAGAAGAAAGAAGGCCTATGGAGGATGTCTCAAACTTGTTTGAAAACCTGAACATTGTTCTTCAGTATCTGCATAGTCTATGTACACTTTGGGATTAGTGATTTGACGGCATTTCTGAGAATGGGCAACTAAGGGAAATTGCACTATTTCTTTTTTGGGGACATTTGAGAATTAGATGGTTGTAGGTCAATCCTATTTGAAAAGATGATTGGGATAATAGAACTTTGGAAATTCCATCCGGCTCTGATGTGATCTCATACTGTAGAACTCAGAGTATTTTTCATAGGCAGAGTAAATGTGGAGGGTAACATCAGACAAGGAGAGAATAAGAAAGAGAGAGTTTGGTGGTGAATGGCAAGATGGGGCTAGAAAAGTGTTGCATACTCCTGACTCCCTCATCCATTGAGTATGTAGAGACAGTACTGCAGTTGTGTGCAAATAACTTTGAAAAATCACTTGAGTCATGAAACGCAGTGATTCCACTCTAGGTATGTACCCAAGAGAAAAAAAACAACATAGATCCCACACTATAACCTTCATGTGTATATTCATATCAGCCTTATTCATCATACTCAGAAAGTGGAAACAACTTGAATGTTTTTTCCTCAGATGAATGGATAATGTAGTATATCTGTACAGTGGAATGTTATTTGACAATACAAAGGAATAGAGACCTGATATGTGCTGTAATATAGATGAGTCTTAAAAATACTATGCTAAGTAAAAGATGGGCATAGCAAACTCTATAATTCCATTTGTATGGAATAGCCAGAATACACAGATTTATAGAGACAGAAAAGAGATGAGTGGTGGCTTAGAACTAAATGGGGGGAAAGGAGGAAGTAGGAGTTGACTGCTAATGGATATAGATTTTTGGGGGGGTGGGGGGTAAAAGTATTCTAAAATTAAATTATGGTAACGATTGCACAATCCTGTGAGTATACTAAAAAGTGTTGAATTATGAAGCAGTGACTTGATGATCACATTAGACCTGCCAGCATTATAATTAGCCCGTAAAGTTTACCTTCACTCAGTTCACTTTTTAAAAAAATAACAAAATTGCTTCCTCCTACAACCTAAGCTCACCCAACTCTTCATTATTCTTAATGGATAACTTGATTTTTATAGATATATGAGCTATGTTAGAAATGACAGCTGGTCTTTTGGGGTGGGTATTAGTGGGAGGATCTGGGACAACCTTTGTGCAGTCACTATCAGATAGTTAAGGCAGATATTTTTAAGATGAAATAAGTACTGTTGCTTACAAATTAGCAGAAGAATTACCATGCTGGCTCCAAGCCACACTTGACCTTGACTCTGGTGACTACAGTAGTTGTTTTTCATGTCATCCTATGTGAAGGAGTTACTAAATCAGCCCCATTTCCCCTTGGCTTGTCAGTGGTGCAGGAACAACATCCAGATCTGTAATAAATCCCCTTTTCTCGCTTTGTACTAAACTCCTACCTCCCAGGTGCCTTAAGGTCCTGCAGCTGAGGAGAAGTTTCTTGTTTTCCTGAGTAGAGGAGATTGACAGAGCCTAAGGGGAGGGAGTAACTGCAGCAGGTGGATAAGATTTGGGGAAATAGTTATGCTTAAATTGGACAAATGATTGTATTGGCTGGCAGAGGGTTTGTACCAGAAACACACTTGTTTCAGCCATGTCTGGAAGCCCTCCATACCAAAGCACTGCTCTCCCGCTGGCCTGTCTGCTGGTTTCTCATCAGGACAGCGAGACCTAGAGTTGTATTTTCCATGTGAGACCACACTTCTCATTTGTAATCATTGGTTTTGGAAACAACAGCCCTGGAAGTGAACAGGAAAATAGAAAAAGACTCTGGCAGAGGAGGGAAGAAGAGAGTAAACAGCCCTGATAGATTGGATTTGTCTTTTAGAATAAATAAAGAGCTCTAAACTCCCAGTGCCCTTTGCCTGTAGTAAAATATGCCCCTTCCCTTTCTGTGAGCCTCTGAAATTTGGTCCCTCCCCTGATCCCGGATTCCTGAGAAGGGTTATAGCACCATCAGAAGCTTGTTTACAGTAACATGCTTTCATTAGTTGCTGGAATGGCAACAATTTTGTTTCCTATCTTCCAATTTTTGCTTGTGATCTGCTTTTATGTAGTGGTCTGTGTCTTTTCTGCTTCCATCGTGTCTTAATTGCTTGCTTATTATGAAAAGCTGCTACTAGCCCCTAGTTAGCCGTTACACATGAGTATGAAAGATATGGGCATTTACATTTATGTATTTGTTCTGCCATTAAAGGAGGGACTGTTAATGGGTGTACCAGAGGCTCGCTGTAGGGTGGAGTGAGAATTGGGAGGCTCCATTGATATGGGAAAGGGGCCAGGTTTAATAACTTCACCCATCAGAAAGCCCATGCCTTCCGTACTTTTATATGCTTGCTTCTCTGCTTCGTCCCAGAAGATTTGGGATGGGTTCCAACAACAGACATACCAACAATGTCAGCAGAAGTACAAAATGAGAACCAAAAAAAAAAAGAAGAGTGTAGTTTGTTGGCTGTGTGGGTTAATGTGGTTGCTATGAGTTTGAAATTTGGCTCCAAGCTTCTTGGCAGGCATGGCCCAATGGGATGTGTGGTTAATCACACATGTGGCTCTAAATCACTTTGACTTTGTACCTTCTCTGAGGACTGTGGCATGAACTTGTTCCTTTCTTGGTTCTTTTGAGGACAGGAAAAGACCACAATTAGGAGAAAGAAAAGGAAGTAAGCACATCTAAAATGTTAACTGTTCTGCTTGCCTTTTTTTTTTTTTTTAAATCAGCTTCTTTATTCTCCATGTAACAGTGGTAGAGATTACATGCCTGTTGTGGGCCATCCCCTTGCTGGGCACTTGCATTACTTCTGCCAGTCCTCAGAACCTGAAAGGAAGGTTACACTGTTTAGGCAGAAGAGGACACTTGCACTATGGGAGGCGGTTAGTCTTGGAGCCAGCCTCTGAGTGGTGTATGTTGATGGTGCAGTTCATGTTTTTTTTCCATACCTAGACATGGCACTCTTTTACTTTGTTCCAGGCTGCAAACCTGCTCACCAAGCCAGATCAGCTCTATTAGTTATGTGAGCTGGCAGGTTTTAGGGGAGGGTTTGGGTCATAGCTCAAAACTTGCCACAGCTCTTTCCAATCCTTGGTGTCCCTCCTATTCCCCTGGGGATTTTCAAGAGTGTTAAGGTTGGTCTGTGTGTGGCAGTGTCTCTTTTTTCCTTTCTTTGGTTTAGGATTATCATTCCAAATGTCAGTAATTATAAAATGCAGGGCTGAGCTCAAGAGCCATTGATCTTTATTTGGCCGCTAATCTCTACACTAAATGTCACCGCCAAGGGGATGTTTGTCTATTTTTGTAGTTAATCAGCTCTGTAATGCTTTCAGCAGCCTTCAAAATAAGTCACCTGTCCTCTGCCTACAATTCAGTACTTCTTTTAACCAAACTTGCTTTAACTGTGGAAGGGAG